ATCTATCTATCTATCTATCTATCTATCTATCTATCTATCTATCTATCTATCTATCTATCTATCTATCATCATCTACCCTAGTGGTTCAGCCTCTCAGATGGAACCCTGATCCACTCTGCAAGCAGGGACTCTTGGTGTCTGTGGAGTTACTGTTAACCTCAAGCTGCTGTTCCTGGAGGAAGTTGGAGTGACTCTCCTCTTCCTCTCCTACATAAGAAGAGGATGTTTTCTTCTCCATTCCCCAAAAGGTTGATGCAAAAATGTGAGATTGGCATCTTACAGAAAGAAGTGGAAGTCATATTTGTACCCCCCACCCTGTTCAGTCTGTTCAATATACAAATGACAAAATGATTATCATCCCCAAACTGAGATAGTTAACCCGTGTTCTGCTCCTGATCCCTGTTTGACAAGTTTCAGGCTCTCACATTAATGCCTGTAATTTGCTGCTTATAAGGTGTTCAAGGACCAGCATCCTCCAGGGGCTTGTTAGAAGTGCAGAATCCCTTGCCCCTCCACTCCTGGACTTACTGAATCAAAACATGCGTTTTGACCAAATCTGTCAGGGATTTGTATGCATATTAAAGCTTAAGTGCCATCTACAGGACATTACTTTGGGGGGATAAAACCTTTATTAGCATGAATACCCAGAGATGGATTCTTATCATTGGCTTCTTGGATATACAGTTGTAAAATTTGTGATGACTATGCGGCACATTTTAGACCGTCCTGTCTCTAATTTCCTCATAACAGTTGGCCTTTTTATGACAGTGTCAACTGAAACGTCAACTGGGCCAGCTGAGAGACCCAGAAGGTGAGTCTTAGAAAGTGAAGAGCTGGAAAGGTTCGGCAGAAGTCACTAAGGTCACTGAAACACCCAAAGCAAGAGCTCTGTACCAAGTGTGTCCACACATACTGAGTAAAAGTATGAAATACACACAGGGTTGATGTACAGCAACATGATTTTGGTGGTTTCTTTCAGGGATGGAGGGAAGAAGGAACAGCGAAGGGGGAGGGGTTTAATTTGCATCTACAACATTTTATTTCTTTTTCAGAGAGAGACACAGCAAGAGAGGGGACACAAACAGGGGCAGAGGGAGAGGGAGAGGGAGAACCGGACTCCCCGCTGACTGGTGCAAGTAGGAAAATGTTTACATCTGTGAAATGTGGGTGGCACATGGGGTTCTGTTAGACTTGTTTCGAACAGTCTGTAGATTTGAAACCATTATCTAAATTAAGAAATTAAAAGTTAAAAAAAGTGGGGAGGGAACATTCTAGGTGTCCTGTGGGTGGTGAATCAGAGGAGGAGACAGGCCAGGGAAGGGAACTGGGGCAGGTGATGACAGAGTTGAGGCTTAGCAGGGGCTGGTGGGAGAGATGATCAGGCTGAGTGGAAGACACTTATCCATAGGCCAAGCCCTTTCCAGAGAGGAAAGCAGTGTTCTCATTGGGACATTACCTGTCAAGGCTCCCTCCCTCCCACCTCTGGGATTGTCTTCCTGCTGTGCCCTTTACCTCCATCACCCTTCTTCATTATCTTCAATGGCTACCTCCTCCTCATTTTTTAGGTCTTATCTCAGATGTGCCCTCCTATGCAAGCCTTCTCTGACTGCCCCCCCCACCCCCGACGCCCACCCAGGTTGGTTGGATTAACTTCTCTGGATTCTCACGGTTGAGCCCA